TATATATGCATATATATATATATATATATATATATATATATATATAGATAGATAGATAGATAGATAGATAGATAGATAGAGAGAGAGAGAGAGTGAAACCAGCAATTTGGGTGACATACTAAAGTGCATATTTAAAATACGATTCTCTCCTAAATCAGTATTAAGCTATAAATATAGTTGTGAAGCCATTTAGCAACAAGCATCCATATGTCTGTCTGTCTGTCTATTTATCTATCTTTCTGTCCGTCTCTCTGTGTCCGTCTGTCTGCCTATGTTTTTTTTATATGTACCGAGAAATCTTGTGATATTTTCTAATTGTGTTCAATTTTGCATAAAAAAATATCACACATATAGACACTGACGGATTCATATGCATATAGTCTCATAGCATTCCCGATAACTAAATAATTATACAGTGTCACCCGGATATAAGAGAGTTGTCGGGACCGGAGAAGAAGTCTCTTATATCCGGGTTTGGTCTATTTTGTTTAGGTAACACAGGCTCTAATTTGGGACCAGAGAAAATCTCTCTTATATCCGGGTTTCTCTTACATCCGGGTCTCTTATATCCGGGGTTACACTGGACTTTATTTTGTGTCTATATGAAGAGAAGACATGCATGAAATACCTATGATAAACATACGTAGAGATAAACGTACATATATATATATATATATATATATATATATATATGTGTGTGTGTGTATCATATATATATATATATATATTAAATGCTCAATATCAGGAGTAATAATGTGTGTCTAAAATTGCCTTTGTGTGTGTGTTGTTTATTTCAGTATATTTATAAATATATATATATTGTGTGTTGTGTGTGTGTGTGTGTGTACTTGTATTAAAGAAAAGACAGGCATAGATAGATAGATAGATAGATAGATAGATAGATAGATAGATGGTCTAAAATAGATAGATAGATAGATAGATAGATAGATAGAAAGATAGATGTAATGACCAACCTCTTAGATTGATAGATTATAGATAGATAGATAAATATCCATTAGATAAAGATAGATATATATAGATGATAATGACCAAACTTAGATAGATGATGATGATAGATAGATAGATAGATAGATAGATGATAGATAGATAGATAATGACCAAACTTAGATAGATAGATAGATAGATAGATAGATAGATAGATAGATAATGACCAAACTTAGATAGATAGATAGATAGATAGATAGATAGATAGATAGATAGATAATGACCAAACTTAGATAGATAGATAGATAGATAGATAGATAGATAGATAGATAGATAATGACCAACCTTAGATAGATAGATAGATAGATAGATAGATAATGACCAAACTTAGATAGATAGATAGATAGATAGATAGATAGATAATGACCAAACTTAGATAGATAGATAGATAGATAGATAGATAGATAATAATGACCAACCTTAGATAGATAGATAGATAGATAGATAGATAGATAGATAGATAGAGATAATGACCAACCTTAGATAGATAGATAGATAGATAGATAGATAGATAGATAGATAATGACCAAACTTAGATAGATAGATAGATAGATAGATAGATAGATAGATAGATAGATGCTGGGACTATTTTTATTAACCTATAAACAGATCATCCTTTCAATTTATCGATTTATTTTCTACTATAAATTGCGACTGGAGAAAAGCGTATTTTCAGTTATCCCTTTTCTGTTTTTAATTTTCTTCTCACTATCCGACAACACATCCAACACTGAATAGACGTATACGTGGAAAGCATTCTGTTAACTCTCTATCAATCGCTTTCTTTTGTACAAAGCCATGAATGAACGGCCAAACATGAACGTATGTTTATCGAAAAATATCCCGAAACTGCTGTACGAAACTGCAAAATAAAAGCCACTTCACGACTGAACGACTCGGTGATTCAGTTAGTTAAATCAAAAGAAAATTCAAATACATTTCTTTTAAGTTTTATTCATTCTGCCTCAAGACACATATTTCAGGTTATTTAACATTTTCTTTTATTCTTTCCTTAGATAGATAGATAGATAGATAGATAGATAGATAGATAGATAGATAGATATGAACAGATTGAGATAGATAGATAGATATGAACAGATTGAGATAGATAGATAGATAGATATGAACAGATTGAGATAGATAGATAGATAGATAGATATGAACAGAGTGAGATAGATAGATAGATAGATAGATAGATAGATAGATAGATAGATAGATATGAACAGATTAAGATAGATAGATATGAACAGATTGAGATAGATAGATAGATAGATAGATAGATAGATACATAGATAGATAGATATGAACAGCTTAAGATAGATAGATAGATAGGTAGATATATATGAACAGATTAAGATAGATAGATAGATAGATAGATAGACAGACAGACAGACAGACATGAACAGATTAAGATAGATAGATAGATAGATAGATAGTGAGAGAGAGAGAGAGAGAGAGAGATATGCATGCAGGTATAACACACAGCTATATAGTCTTACGGCCATATCGCCTTGAAACACTGGTTCTAGTGCTATCACCGGAGTTAAGATAGGTCGAGCCTGGACAGTACTTAGATGGGTGACCACTTGGAAATAACCGGTGCTGTAAGCTTGTGCGTGCGGTGTAATGGATAACGGTGATTGGAGAGCCGAGTTGCAATTCTAGTCGCTTCCGTTATATTCACTTATGCGCAAAAGGATTCACGCCTATTGGGGAAGGCATGAATCCAAATCTCCCTCCAGCTTTGAGTTAACAGAACTTTTATCAGGAAGTCATATTTTCTCTAAAAAAAATTCGTTAAAATTTAAACGCATTTCATGCCATTAAATAAACTGCAAATAAGTTGATAATTGACAGACCATAAAAAACAAATCAAAAACACACACACACACACACACATATATATATATTGTTGTTATTTCCTTCTATTCGCGGTATATTTATCTTTCTCGTATTTTCTCTCTTCTCTCTTGGTCTTCCATTTGTTCCCACTCTCTTGTCATCTCTTACCTTCTTTCTCGTTCTATCTTTTTTCATGGCTTTTACTCTGTCTATCGCTATTTTGAATTCCCTCTATTTTACTCCCTCTTTATTCCTTTCTCTCTAAGACCCGTTCTCTCTGACTGCCTGATCCTCTTTCTCTGTCTATTTCTCTCTATATATAATATTTATGCATATATAACGTTTATGTATATATAAACTTTATATAGCTATATATGTGCGTGTATGTATATAATTATAAAGTTTATCTATCTATCTATCTATCTATCTATCTATCTATCTATTTCTGTCTCTCTGTCTGTCTGTCTGTCTCTCTCTCTCTCTCTCTCTCTCTCTATATATATATATATATATATATATATATATATATTTCTGTCTCTTGCTCTTTGTCACGTTTTTTCCTCACGTGTTCCTCCCTTGTTCTCTCTCTCTCTCTCTCTCTCTCTCTATATATATATATATATATATATATATATATATATATATATATATATATATAATTTGATTGATCTCTTTCCCTCTTCTCTCTCTCTCTCTCTCTCTCTCTCTCTTGAATTCTTTTTTATTACATTCTGTCATTCTTACTTTTCTCAAACGATGAATCTCTCTCTCTCTCTCTCTCTCTCTCTTACTCTATCTATCTATCTATCTATCTATCTATCTATCTATATCTATCTATCTATCTCTTTCAGGATATTATCATTAAAAATCCATCATTGGATGCACGTCATGTGCAACACCGTCATGGCCCCTTAATATTGACGTCTTCCTTCCACCTATAGTTTTGCCATATGAGCAACGCCTCTTGGCGCGTACCTGTTTGACTTGCGCACCTGCCAGCGCGTTTTAAGGAAAGCTAGAACTTATAACTTATTCGCAGTTCACTTTCTAACTGGCTGAATGATTTTTCCGCGTTTGACATTCTGCAGCTCGCATCCGGCTGTAACTGGCCAAAAAACAAAAAAAGAAAAAAAAAATGAAATCCATATCAAGAGACGGTCTTGAAAAGCAGTCTTCTGGTATTATGAAACAAACATTTTTTTTTTCTTTGAAAGAATCGGTCAGGTAGTCACTAAATTAACGAAGAACCCTCGTACTTCATATAAGCAGACAAGGATAAATATATATTTTTTCTTTTTCGCCGTTATTATAATTGCGGCTGATATAAATAGTTAATCAGAATTTCTATTTTAAACAGCCACGAACCGGGTTCGAAGCCAAATGTGATCTAAATACGTTCTTTCTCAATGTTTTTACTTCAAATGTTTTAAAAATTTCTAACGATTTATTTAAGCTTCGCTTTTCATTAAAGCAAATAAATGCGTCAGCCTGCAAAAAAATATTTGAGTAAAAAATAAAATACCGTGCATATTTAAGATGAAGGCAATCGTTTCTTTTATTATTAACTAATGTCTTGATTCCTTGTGAGAAGCATTCTCATTCCCGACGGATTTGAATTCAGAATTCTTCCTCTCTTAGACTGGCGGCCATCCAGTTCTAGTTAACTGATTCTACTCTGCTTTTTAACCCATACAGATAAATTTATTTGTACCCAAGGAAATTCCGCAAACTACTCGGCAATTATAACTTAGTTCTCAGATTTCAAATTATCTATTCCTAAAAGTTTTAGTAATGGTTTTGAAAAGCAAATATCGGTTTTCATATTTTTAATGTTTACGAAGCTTGGCAATGGTCGGCTTGAGGATATCTTGCGGAATAGCCTTAAGAAGATTTCGTTTTGAGGAACTGAAGAACTGCAACATCATTTTAAACTTGAACTTTAAATTGGCACCAACAACAAACATTGGCGCCGTTCTGAGATACGAAAGCAACCATCCCCAGCAAACGAAATCTAAACGTAATTCTAATAAACCTTCCCCCTTTTTTGTCTATGTCAACTGTCTGTCTATCCGTCTGCCTGTCTCCGACTTCCTTTTTCGTTTCTTGCACTTCTAGTGTTATGGGTGCTAAAATTTAAACTCTTACTAGAATTT